TTCTTGTTAGTAGGTATCATTCCAGTGTTTTCCAATGTCTAAAACTACTGATGAGATGTTTTACCTTTGTGAATGGTAAATTCTTTACCATTGGAAGCTTTTAATAATTTCCTCTTCATTGCTAGATAAATTTACTAGGTATACACACTTTTATATATTTTTTATCAATCTTCTCTGGACTTCAGTGAGCCCTTTTGTCTATGAATCCAGGTCTTTCTGCAATTCTTTTTCTTAATTACTGTTTATTTTTGTTTTCTTCTCCCTCTGGAATTATTATTGCCTGCTAGATCTTTTGAATCTACCCTCCTAATCTCTTATCATTTCCCTTATATTACTGGACTTTTAATTCTTGTTTTTTGAGTTGTGATATTTAATTTGATCATTTCATTCATTATTCAATACTTCAGTTCTGAGTAACACTACTATAAAAACTAAACAAAATTCATGGACAGCTACTTGAGGACTCTGAAAAGTAAACAGTCGCAGGCAATCCCATGAAAGAGATGGCTACAGCTAGAAACAGGGGCCTAGAGAAGCCAGAACTATGAGGGAGGGAAATTGTTTTCTCTCTTCATCTGAGCCACGATCCCAAGAGGGTAGAGGCAATCCCCATTGCTTATTACCTCTCTTTTCACTTCTGAGGCCAGACTTGGGCCTAAACATGGAAGTGTGGCAGAACAGGGTAACTGGAGCCTAAAATTTCTGGCTGGATGGCCAAAATAGAGAGTCTCACAGAACTAGAACGTATCCAAGAGATCACAGAGAAGAGCTCAGGAAAGTGATCCCATAAAGTTGTTTACAAACTCTAGAACTCATCCCTGAGTGAAACATGCATAGATCTAATGCTGAGTAATATACAAAGGAATTTGAAAGTTGAGCTAACCACTCAGGTCACAGACTGACCACTGAATGGCATACACTTGGGGCAGATGTGAAGAGACTTTGAAAACGGAACTAACATTAAAACTACAGTCCCTATAAGCAGGTAGGTTTTTGTCGCCTGAAGAACTTTGCTAAGTAAATGTTAAAACAAAAACATCAACATTCTTCATAGGATTAAAATAAGATCCAGAGTCTTATAAGAGTATCCAAAACGACCAGGATGCAATCCAAAATTTCCCTGTATATGAAGAACCATGAAAATTTCAACTTGCATGGGAAAAGACAATCCAGAGAAGCCAAAGCTGAGATGACACAGGTGTTGAGATTATCTGATAAAGACTTCAAGGCAAACATTGTAAAATGCTTGAACTTGAGCAACACTGGCATAGTGGTTTGAGCCTGTAATCCCAGCGACTCCCTGTGAAGCTGAGGAGAGAGGGGGATCGCTTCAGCCTGAGAGTTCAAGACCAGCCTTGGCAACACTGTGAGGCCCCATCTCTAAAAATAAAAAAAGCTTGAGCAAGCCATTGTGCACACACTTGAAACAGTTGTTAAAATAGAAAGTCTCAGCAAAGAAATAGAAGACATAAATAAAAACCTAATGGAAATTTTAGTATTCAATATAAAATTATTTTAACTTAATGTATTCACTAATGGACTGGAGATGGCAGAGGAAAGAATCAGTGAACTTGAAGATAGATCAATTAAAATTTTACATTCTAACAACATAGAGGAAAAGACTGGAGGGAAAAAGAACAGAGCCTTAGGGACCAGAGGAATGATTATAAAAGGATTAACATTTATGTCATTAGAGTTATAGAAGGAGAGAAGAAAAAGTGTAGTGTAGAAACAAATGTTGGAAAAGATGGCTGGAAAGTCCCAAGTTTATATAAAGATACAAGTCTATAAATTCAAGAAGCAAAATGAACCCTAACTAGGATAAATCCAAAGAGATCTGCAACCAGACATATCATAATCAAACTGCTGAAAACTAACGACGCAGTCTTCAAAGCAACCAGAGAAAAATGATAAATTACTTATAGGAAAACAATGATTTGAATGGCTGCAGATTCCTTTTCAGAAACCATTAGACCTACTCTAAAAAAATGATAAACAATGTTCTTCAGAGAGAAGAAAAAGATATAAGAAGGAAATTAGAGACATCATGAATAAAGAGACAGCAACAGAAATGATAACTATCTGGGTAAATGTAATAGATTATTCTTTTCCTTAAAATATGATTGATGGTTGAAAAAAATTATGTCTCATGGACTATATAATGTATGTAAATATAAAATATAAGACAATATATATAGTGGAGGGGAAAGGGTGATAAGGTTTTTGCATGCCAAACAAAGCACTAAAACAATGAAATGATTTGAAGTACACAATGAAAAGTATGTATTTTATAATTCCTAGAGAAACCACTAAAATTTTATACAAAGATAGTGTCAAAATCATAACATATAAAATAGAAAACTAAATAATGTTTAAATAGTTCGACAAAAGGAGGAAAGGGAAAATATAAATATGGAGCAAGTAGCACTCTTACCTACTAGTGGTGGGAATGGAAAATGCTTTTGGAAAACTCAGTTTCTTAAAAAGTAAAGGATATATCTAGTTGTTCCACTGTTAGGTATGAGCTTAAGAGAAATAAAAGCATATGTCCATATAGTGACTCATACATGAATTTTCAGAGCAGCTGTCAATGTATTAGTCCTGAGCTAGAAACAACTCAGATGTCCACGGACAAGTGACTAGATAAACTGTTGTATATGTGCACAGTGGGATACTCCACCACAATAAAAAGGAATCAATACATGCAATTAACATGGAGAAATTTCAAAATAATGTAATTATGCTGAGTAAAAGAAGCCAGACTAAAAAAAAATTCCATTTATATATTCTAAATATGCAAACTAATCTATAGTGACCTAAAGCAGATTAGTGGTTTCTAGAGAAGGAAGAGGGTAAAGCAGAGAAAGAAGGGAGAGAAGGATTATACAGGACCGTGACAACATTTGTAGGGTAATGGATGCTCTCTTGATTATGGTAATGATTTCAAAAGTAAATATCTGTGAGAATTCATCAAATTGTATATTCTAATTTAATGTGCAGTCTATGTCAATTATACCTCAATAAAGTTGTAAAAAGTTTTTTAGAGGGTGTAAATTGTGAACACTGCATATCAGTGTTCACACTTTTGCCCTTACATGATGACAAGGAAGAACAGTAGACATTTCCTATAAATAAAATGGAACTATATAGTTGTTTAGTTAAGCAAAAACATCACTTAATGATAGAAGTATTTTTTAAAAAAATTTTGGTTGGTTGTCGTAGTACACACACCTATAATCCTGGCACTTTGGGAGATAAAGGCAGGAGGATCACTTGAGTCCAGGAGTTCCAGACCAGAATGGGAAACACAGGGAGACCCCATCTCCACAAAAAATTTACAAATTAGCTAGGTGTGTTGGCACATGCCTGTGGTCCCAGCTACTTGGGAGGAAAAAAAAATTATTTTAAATTCTTAAATATTTTATTTGACTTAAACATCTAAGTAGTCCTCACTTTGCAGACTGCTATATGAATTTCCGTTACCAAAGTTTATTAACTGTGGGAAATAGCATAAGTTTGCTACTAGCTTTTCATTTCACAAATTACATAAATTTGCAATTTTACTTCTTTCAAAGTCTATGGGTGATTGGTCATTGTGCATGTTAGTCAGTTCACACGCAGGCTGCAAAGCATGTAGGTTTGTTATTAGTATTTCTGCGCCCTTGAAATAAACTCACTTGGACTTTTACAAGTTAAAAGAGGAAATTGGCCAAAAGAATGAAAGTGAACTCAAGAAGAATGATAATATGAGAAGTGAAACTTGCATTAAACATAAATGGAGCAAAAGAAAAAAACTGCTGCCTGTGGGAACATGCTGATTGTGGGAACAATGACACTGGTGACATTGGAGACATTCTAGATATTTAGACTGAGGAAATCAATGAAGGTGAACTAGACATAAATGAGGAAAAGCGGTTGTGATGAAAGGCTGCTGATCTGTCAGAGGAACTGACACTAGCCAAAAAAAAAAAAAAAAAAAAAAAAAAAAAAAAAAAAAACAACAAAAAAACCACATTAAAGGAGCTCTGAGATATTTCACAACATTGAAAACGTAAGGGATAAAATGTTGGAAACTAATATTTACATTTCTCCAGAACGCGGAACTCATATGCAAACTGTGTTCTCCATTGTCCAAATAAATATCTTCACAGGTTTCTCAATTCATGTGGGCAAAATTAAAAGTAAAATTTGCTTCTTCCCTTTGGAAAACCCTCTCTCAGAGTATATTATCAACATTCAACTTCTTATACAAGACATAGACCTGGGAATCATTATTCATTCTTCACTTGTCCAATCAATTTCCATGGCCTGCTGATTCTATTTCTTGGATGTTTTTCAAATCTCTCCACTTTCTTTATTGTACTCGGCAACTCCGTGGCCCAGGCTTCCATCAGCTCTCTCCTGGACAAGTGTAATCCTAACAGTTACCTAACTTGGCTCCCACTCTTGTTCTCAGTTGCAACCCATTCTCCAAGCAGAGAACAAACTGCAATAGCTGTTACCTTATTCTCATCTTCACACCTCTACCCAAGCACACAATGCTCTTCCTCTAGTTTTTGTCTACTTCATCTCTTGTCAGTGGTCCCTACCCCAATTCTCCGATCTAGTCATTCTGAACTTTGTTCAATTCCTGACCTGTGTCCTCTGCCTTTAATATGCTGCCTGACACACAGTAGGAACTCACTAAAGATGTAGACTGAATGAATGAACGAGTCCTTGGAGGGTAGCTATTCTCCGGAGTAACTTGAAAGAGAAGGAATACAGTAAAACGAAGCATTCTTATTTAGGTTTATAGTGTCTTCACCTGAGCCCGCGGGCGAACCCACCTGCCTGCAAGTTGTTACCAGTAAATAAAAAGCATCCTATTTTCGCAAGCCACACGGAAGAGGGTAAATACGAGTCTGCTGGCAGGAAAGCGATTAGACGGGAAAGTGTGGGGAAAGCTTAGAATTATTGGTCCAGATTCTAACTTGCCTGTTAGCCAAAAAGGTTTTCCTTACCTCCGTGTAGACGCTGCTCTCCGCAGGCGAAGAGGGTCCTCCAAACCAGTTTGTCGCGCAGACAAAAACCCCAGCATAGCGTGTCCTCACACCGGCTACAGCACTGGACGTCGCCATGACAGAGCTCGGGGGCGTGGCTGGAACAGCAGAGTCTCCCATTGGCCAGGCGGTGATATATCCGGCCAATGGTGAGCGCCGTTACTGGAAGGGCTAGAGGATGGAGGCGGGTCTGACTTCTCCGCCACCGGGGGCTGAGAAGGCGGCTGGAGCTTTACCCTTACTGCGGTTCCGGCAGCTGACAGCGCTGGGATCTGGGTAAACGGTATGGGTTGGTCTCAGGATTTGTTCCGCTACTTGTGGAGGTCGCTGTCAAAGGAAGTGAAGGAGCACGTGGGCACGGACCAGTTCGGGAACAAATACTATTATATCGCGGGGTACAAGAACTGGAGAGGTGAGGTGAGGGCAAGGGCAGTGGTTGCGTGGTCCGTAATGGAGGGAAAATGAGAGCGCCTACTCAACTAATGCATTGTGCGACACTTAGGATGTCACCGGAGGGAATTTTCCGAGTTCGTCGGCAAGTGTCGACCCCTTCACTCCGGAGTGGGAGCCCTACCCGGCCTGCCCTGGGTGCCTTTCCCCGCGGTCTGGCGCCTTGGCCCGGCCTCGTGCGTCCGCGGTCACTGTGACCCTGCGTCTTCCTCCGGCGCACGAGCTGCTCGCGTTGTTAAGACGCACAACCCTTTTCTCCCAGCCACCCCGGGAGAGGAGCCTCAGTTTTAGTCCTCCACTGGCACCAGAGGCGGGGAAAAATACACGGAAATCTTTTACCAAAGGGTCTAGGGAAGGCCAGGGAAGGGGTTTTTCGTACGCGGTGCCCCTCTACCCCCAACTTCCTTGTGCCCCCGAGCTGAGTGCTGTAATTTAAGAGGAGTATCTTAAGCTCCTCGCCTGTCCTCTTTCTTGGTGTTTGCCCTTTTCGTTGGCACCCTGGCTCCGGACCTGGCCCCATGCGCCTTACTCACAGCCAAAACTTCTCAGACGTAGGTCCATGTCTCCACAAGTCTCGCTGATTCCGTCCGTTCTCGGGAGTTTGCATTCCAAGACCACGATGAGCTCAATTTAAGAAACACAGCAACGCCTCCTACTCCCCAAACAACCCGCTCCACTACTTGGCACCAATCCTAGACAGAAATACCATGTTAGAAGGCTGGAATTAAAAAATCAAAGATAAATTTTTAGCTTACAAATTCAATATCTTTAACAGTTATAAGACTACTCAGGCTATCTATTTTGTCTTAGGTGAGTTTTGGTAGTTTTTATCTTTTGAGTAGTTTGCCCTTTTTATCTAATATGTTGAATTTATGGTCATAAAGTTTTTGTAATACGTCATTTTAAAAAATATTTGTAGGATTTATACTGATATCCTCTCTTTCCTGAATTGATAATTTGTGGCTATTCTTGTTTTCTCAGTCTATCTGATGAGCGGTTTGTTAATTTTATTATTTTAGAAAAACAGCTTTGAGTTTCATTGATTTTTCTCTAAGTTTTTTTCATTGGTTTCTACCTTATTGCTTACTCTTATATCATCATCGTTTTCTTCTGCTTTCAGTGGTTTTATATGTTCTTATTTTTATAGTTTCTTAAGGTGGCCACTGAGGTCATAATTTGAGCTGTTTATTTTTTAATGTATTATTACACATTTTTAATGCTAAAATTTCTTGTAGTAACTGTTGAGACCACATCTGACAAATTTTTATATTAAAATTTTTTTCATGCAGCTTTTTTCTTATTTATTTAGTCTATGACCCATGTATTTATTTAGAAGTCTGTTCTTTAATTTACAAATATTTGAAGATTTTCTAGATATCTTCACTGACTTCTAGTTTAATTCCATTTTATTCAGAGAACATACTTTAGATGATTCGTTATTTTAAATTTATTATAACTTGTTTTATGACCTAAATATATGGTGTGATTTGGTAAATGCTCTGTTTGCACTTCAAAAAAATGTATTATATATGTTTCCATTTTGGGTTGAATGTACTGTAAACGTCAGTTAGCACAAGCTGGTTGACATAGAGTTGTTCAAGCTTTCTATATTCATACTGATTTTTCTTTATGCTTGTTCTGTCAATTACTGAAAAATGTATGTTGCAGTCTCTGAATATATGTGTACATTTGTCTTTTATTCTTTCCAGTACTGTCAGTTTTTGCTTCATGTATTTTCAGTACCTATTGTTGTGTCCTTACACATTTATGATTGAAAGATAGTAATAAAATTCACCCAAAATAAAACATAGAGAGAAAAAAGACCAAAAAAAAAAAAAAAAAGCAATTAGCAAGCTGTGGGGTACCCTCAAGTGGCCTTATATGTATAACTGGAGATCATAAGGGATAAAGGTCATTTTGAAGACCAAAAATATTTGAAAAAATAATGGTCAAAAATATTCTAAATTTGATGAAAACGATAAACCCACAGACCGCAAAACATTAACAAATTCCAAATGAAAGAAAAGTGTAGAAAACCACACCAAAGCATATTATAATCAAATTGCTCAAAGCCATTAATAAAGAGAAAATCTATAGAGCCAGAGAAAAATACACATTACTTACAGAGGAAGAAAGATGAGGATGAGATCAGGTTTTTAATGTTTTTTAATTTTATATACATATATATTTTATTACACTTTAGATTCTGGGGTATATGTGGAGAACATGCAGGATTGTTGCATAGGTACATGCATGGCACTGTGGTTTGCTGCCTCCATCCCCTCGTCACCTATAACTGGCATTCCTCCCCATGTTATCTCTCCCTAACCTCCCTATCCCTCACTGTCCCTCCTCTATTCCCCCTCCAACAGACCCCAGTGTATGATGCTCCCCTCCCTGTGTCCATGTGTTTTCATTGTTCAACACCCGCCTATGAGTGAGAACATGCAGTGTTTGATTTTCTGTTCTTGTTTCAGTTTGCTGAGAATGATGGTTTCCAAATTCATCCCTGTCCCCACAAAGGACACAAACTCATAATTTTTTATGGCTGCATAGTATTCCATGGTGTATATGTGCCACATTTTCCTTGTCTATCATCGATGGGTTTTTGCATTGGTTCCAGGTCTCTGCTATTGTAAGCAGTGCCGCAGTGAACATACATGTGCATGTGTCTTTATAATAGAACAATTTATAATTCTTTGGATATATACCCAGTAATGGGATTGCTGGATCAAATGAAATTTTATTTCTAGGTCCTTGAGGAATCTCCACACTGTCTTCCACAATGGGTTGCACTATTTTACACTCTCACCAACAGGGTAAAAGTGTTCCTATTTCTTCACATCCTCTCCAACATCTCTCTCTCCAGATTTTTTAATGATTGCCATTCTAACTGGAGTGAGATGATATCTCATTGTGGTTTTGATTTGCGTTTCTCTAATGACCAGTGATGATGAGCATTTTTTTCTTACGTTTGTTGGCCTCATATATGTCTTCTTTTGAAAAGTGACTGTTCATGTCCTTTGTCCACTTTTGGATGGGTTTGTTTGTTTTTTCTTGTAAATCTCTTTCAGTTCTTTGTAGATTCTGGATGTTAGCCCTTTGTCAGATGGGTAGATTGCAAAACTTTTTTCCCATTCTATTAGTTGCTGGTTTGCTTTTATGATTGTTTCTTTTGCTGTACAGAAGCTCTGAAGTTTAATTAGGCCCCATTTGTCTATTTTAGCTTTTGTTGTCATTGCTTTTGGTGTATTAGTCATGAAGTCCTTGCCTATACTGATGTCCTCAATGGTTTTGCCTAGGTTTTCTTTTAGGTTTTTTTTATGGTGTTAGGTCTTATGTTTAAGTCCTTAATTCATCTGGAGTTAATTTTAGTGTAAGGTGTCAGGAAGGGGTCCAGTTTCTGCTTTCTGCACATGGCTAGTCAATTTTTCCAACTCCATTTATTAAACAGGGGATCGTTTCCCCATTACTTGTTTTTGTCAGGTTCATCAAAGATCAAATGGTTGTAGATGTGTGGTGTTGTTCCAGAGGCCTCTGTTCTGTTCCATTGGTCTATGTCTCTGTTTCAATATCAGTACCCTGCTGTTTTGATTACTGTTGCCTTGTAGTATAGATTGAAGTCTGGCAGCATGATGCCAGCAGCTTTTTTCTTTTTGCTTGGGATTGTCTTGGCTATGCGGGCTCTTTTTTGGTTCCATATGCAGTTAAAGTGGTTTTTTCCAGTTCTGTGAAGGTCATTGGTAGTTTGATGCGGATAGCATTAAATGTGTAAACTACTTGGGGCAGTATGGCCATTTTCACAATATTGATTCTTCCTAACCATGAGCATGGAATGTTTTTCCATCTGTTTGTGTCTTCTGTTATTTCCTTGAGCAGTGGTTTGTAGATCTCCTTGAAGTGGTCCTTTATCTCCTTTGTTAATTGTATTCTTACATATTTTATTCTTCTTGTAGCAATTGTGAATGGGAATTCGCTCTTGATTTGCTCTTTTTGTCTGTTATTGGTGTATAGGAATGCTTGTGAATTCTGCACATTGATTTTGTATCCTCAGACTTTGCTTAAGTTGCTTATCAGCTTAAGAAGAGTTTGGGCTGAGATGATGAGGTCTTCTAAATATACAGTCATGTCATCTGCAAATAGAGACAATTTGACTTTCTCCTTTCCTAATTTAATACCCTTTATTTCTTTGTCTTGCCTGATTGCTGTGGCTAAAACTTGCAATATTATATTGAATAAGAGTACAGAGAGAGGGCATCCTTCTCTAGTGCCAGATTTCAAAGGGAATGCTTCCAGTTTTTGCCCATTCAGTATGATATTGGCTGTGGGTTTGTCATAAATAGCTTTTATTATTTTGTGATAGGTTCCATCGATACCTAGTTTATTGAGAGTTTTTAGCATAAAGGGCTGTTGAATTTTGTCAAAGGACTTCTCTGCATCTGTTGAGATAATCATGTAGTTTTTGTCTTTGGTTCTATTTATGTGGTGGATTATGCTTATGGACTTGCGTACGTTGAACCAGGCTTGCATCCCTGGGATGAAGCCTATTTGATCATGTTGGATAAGCATTTGGATGTGCTGTTGCAATCAGTTTGCCAGTATTTTATTGATGATTTTTGCATCTATGGTCACCATGGAGATTAGCCTGAAATTTAATT